TGTTTTTAAGGTATAAGAGTTTGTTTTCTGTTATTTAATGTGCTTTTAAGACTTTAAATGTTATGATGACATTTTAATATCTATTGTTCGTTGTAATTTGCCTATAAAAGAACAACCAAATAACCTCAATGTCTTTTTTCGTGTTGTTATGACTTTGGTTTGTTTTATGCGCTCAGTACTTAAAATTATTATTGATTACTTACATAACAAGATTTTAGAAAGACCATTTCTTTTGTATTACCTCGGTCTTTTGTTCTAGGTGATTAAAAATATAAAATATATATTATCGTTCATCCAAATATAGTTTTTTTCGCTATTAAGACAATAAATTTATAAAGCATATGTTTATAAGAGCATCGGCGGCGCCGCTGGCTTCAATATCAATTTCCAATTCTAGGTTATTCCATGCGAATGGGACGAAGATATACGGGCAGATTAAAAGTGGACATTATGGTTACCGTAATGGGAAGCAAATTGCTTTTATTGTTTTCGAAATCGAATTGACTGGTAGGAAAGCAGATACGTAACAAACTAGAGCGTCGATGGGGATCGCAAAACGCGAGATAAGGCGAGTATCGAGAGATCTACATCGCTTTTATCGCTCGCTCGCAGCTAAACGTCCGAGCCCATTTTTGTATTTCGAAAAGAAGCGCTTTAATTAATTCGTTTCGTTCAGTAAAGAAAAGAGATTTCGTACGGTACTCTCGTAGCCCAACTTACCAACTGAGACGCGATCGCGACTTTGACCGTATACACGCTTTTAATTTTGTTACAATAAATGATGATAAATTCATTACGCCAATATTCCAATGTATACGAAGCGTGTTCAAAAATCACAATCACAAAAGTCAAATTCCTTTTTGAACACACCTTGTATATATCAATTAATATATAATACATAAAAATTATATTAATTCATGTGTTCTTCAGAACTTATTTAGGGTTACATATTGAAATACAGATTTTTTTAAAGAAATTGTCCATTGGCTCTTTTCACAATCTATACACACACACTATTATTTATTTATTTGGACTTTTAAGAGAATTCTTTGGTGTTTTCAACTTTATTTACATTTTTCGTTGAGGTCAAACCTACTGGTTTATTAAATCAAACGCTTTGCCCCTATTTACACCCACGAAACATGGAAATTCTATCTGCCAAATTTCTGAAAATCTCTTGGGTGGCACACAACATATATCACTCCTACCTGCAACATATCTATTTTTGAAACTTTGCGATTTAATTTCACAGTTCTTTCTGCCTAAAACTATTGCTATAATACTGACGAAACCGATAACCAACAAGTAAGTAATTGACAATTTTGGAGAAAATAACCGTCAAATTTTAAAGAAAAGGTAAATAATAATTAAAACCTAACACTGCAAATTAATTTATCTTATTTTTAATCATTATTATGGAGCAATATATTTTCAAAAATATGCTCTTTTACTCGGACACACGTTATTGGTGTATTTTCTTGGACGTTCCCTAGCATAAAAGGAGTTCATATGGTGTTGTATGGTACATACATTACACCAATTATTTCAGTTTTAGCAAAATTTTTACTTATTTTTGTAAATTTAATTATATCACAAAAAATTGTTCAGATATACAGGGTATTCCTTGCAAAAAACGCATTTTCCACCACCTTTGTATCTCTTAGGCAAGTGATTAATTTTGACCAACCTTGTATGATACAGAACTAATTTCGATATTAAGAAATAACGTACAGTATCTCCTCAAGATTAGTCCAAAATTTAAACTTCCTACTGGCTCCAGTGTCGTAGTATAAAAATTTAATTATTTCGGTCGCTAAAGGTAGCTACGACAGCAATCAGACTGCCGTGCTATAATATCTGGGGTGCCTCAAGGCTCCTTTCTGGGGCCAATTTTCTGTATATATACGTCCGCGTTTTTCAGTTTTTTACAGAGTTGCAAAACCCAAATGTGTGCAGAGTTTATTGTTCATTTTCGGGAGATAGAATTTTGGAAAGCTGTCAAATCATAAATAATAATCTAGAAATCATTAACACGGTATCCCTAGATCATTCACTCTATCTAAATCCAAAAAAATCTATAGCAATGTTCTTTGGTAGGACCGTGGATTATCTCAACTAGTTGAAATAGAAATATCGAACGTGTGCATTCCTTTGAAAACGGAGGCAAAAAACTGTCGGCTTATGCTCGACAATAAGCTAAGATTTAATGGTCACGTTACACAATGTATTAAAAAAATCATTGCCCACTTAAAATGCTTATATGGTTCTAAAAATATTTTAAATCAATCACTAAAAAAGGTCCTGTGTGATTCGATAGTTTTATCTTCTATTAACCACTATGATGTCGTCTATGGCCCGTTTCTGACAGCGGCTGCCTCAGAACGGATTCAAAAAATCCAGAAATACTGTCTAAGATTCATTTTTGGAATTAAACGCGGCAGGCCTGTTAATCATAAACTGAAGGAAGTCCGATGGTTTAATATGAAAAATCGACGATATCTCCATAAATGTAATTTGTATCACAAAAGATTGATAAGATTGAAGTCTCCACGCTATATTTCCAAAAAAATCAGCTTTCGCACGGACGTTCACAATTTAAATTTAAGATTTAAAGCCCTGCTCACCTCTCCACGTCATACCTCTAGAATTTTTGAAAGATCCTTTACATATGACATGGCTAAAACATAGAATGCATTGGATCAGTCTTTTAAATTACTAAACAATAGCTTTTCCACATAGCTGCGTGAAGTATTATTATAATTAAATATTTAAGTAATGTCTACTGTATTTCCAAAGTGTAAGTCTCTCAATTTGCACAGATCGTACTAGGTTTTTATTTTTTTTATGTGTATTTTTCCTGCGTAGCGCTGCTACCTACCACAAAGTATTAACGGATCGGAAAGTGCAATAATATACGTGGTGTCCCATTTAAACTTTCAATGTTGATACTACTTTTTCTAAGAAGCTTATGGAACTAACCATTATTACTAACTAACTAACTAACTATTATTACTTTATTGTTATCGAATACCAAAAAATACTAGAACTGTTTCGAAAACAGAAAAAAAGTATGCGCCGTACCTCACTCAGTCTACTTATCGCAATAAATATGTAAATGGGAAGCAGCAGAAAGAAGCGAATCCACGTAGAAATCCATCGGGTTGTGACGAAAATCGTGAAGAATACGGTACGCAGTTAAGGCTCGACTATTACGATATTTTTAAAGCAGCTTTTCGGTTCCGCAACTGTACTTTTGGTTAATTTATTCCGGCGTTGCATCCGTGGTCTCGACTTTTAAATTCGCCTTCACGGAACAATTCGATACCGTTTAAATCGAATTATACTATTATTTATCCACGAAAACGTTAATTTTCAGGATCTTTTTTTTACCCATAATCGACACACTCTGTACATAATCAATAAAATGCCCGAAGCAAAAGTTATAGCCCTGGATCCCCCACGTTTCCCGGTGTATGAATTTATCCGGTAGAATAAATGGTTTTCGAGAAAATACTCGTTTTTTGACATCATGCAGTAATAGTAAATGAGTGCGATATAGCGACAGTTACATGGACTTTTTCAAATTTCTCGCGAAGCATCTGCGTTAGACGGTAACCCTAAATAGAAAAATTGTAACCAAATAGCCATATTTTTCACGAATTTCGATTTACGCCTAATAATGTATTCTGGAAAAGAACAATTTTCAGGGTCTTTTATGTTTTTGTCTATAACGGAAAAACGCTGTATATAATCGAAAAAATGCCTGAAATAAAAGTTATGGCCCCGGATCTTCCGCGTGGACTACAAATCTACAGAGAAACGGAGAACGCATAAACGAGAACAGAAAAAAAATTTTTTTTGCAAGCCGCACATTTCTATAGGAAAATACGAATTAATGAGGAGCTCAATAAATTTTTATTCTGGCTCAACGAATAATTATTTCACAAAATTTACGTTTTCTTAGTTTTGCTTAAGTTCGTTTGAAGGTATTTATCGAAAAAAAAACGAAATTTTTTATTTAAAGAGATATAAAAAAGTACGTTGTTTCGTAGTACGTTGTTACTGGAAAAATCCGGATGGACAAAAATCTACAGCAACAGTATCTTCAATGATCTTCAATAGATCTCTTTTGTACAAAAATTATTATTACTTTCTTCTGAATGTTGCGTATAATAAATTATCTTTTGAATTGGTTTTATTTACTATCAGTACTTTAGCCATTACTTAGTTTTTGTTTTGAAAAATACTTTTGTTTTTATTAAAATCAGCATGAAAAAAAAAAGCTCAATTGGACTGCATGAAACTGCCAAACACTTCTGTATTACTGGATTGTTACTTTCTGAATTTGCAATCAAAATGTTTGATACGTCGTCTTTTTTTAAAATAATAATATATATTTAAAACTATTAGCTATCGGTATGTACTATTATTAATAAAAAACGGTTTCATTTTTTAAAAAAAATTGTTTTATTCGTCGCACTTGTTTGAACCACCCTGAAGTGAAGTATCTACATCAATTTCCATTTTATACGTCATAACTAATATCAAACTAAAATGTTGTATAGAGTTCCAGCGCGCAAAATATCTTTAATTTGTTCATTTAGTAGTTTTTGAAAATGTTTAGTTTTAAACATAAAGGAGAGTTAAAACAGAAGGAGGCCGTTTAAATGAACAAAATGAAATATTTTCAGCCCGAGTTTCTTTAAATATAGCCAATAAATAAAGGTAGCAACGAATGGTTCAGAGTGTAGAAATATTTAATGATAATAAATATTGGTAATAATAATAATAATATCTTTAAAAATAAGACACGCTATCTGTTTAATAAAATCTCCTTCAGAGCACACACAATTAAATTCGCCCTTTTAAAGCTCAAGTTGAGTGGGGAAACCTCGATTTACGTCGTAATAAAGCAACCTCGAATCACGTCCGTCAGAGTATCGCGACGAAGATAATAATAGGAAATTTCTAGCTAATATTCATCTCCAGTAGGTACTCACCTGTAATGGTAGGTCTCGTGAAAATCGAATCCACCTTCGAACGGCGTTTATCTCCCCATATTCCTCAACACGACACTTACTTATAAGCCACATAGAAAGTTTTTTATAAAAATAAAGTTAATAATAGCGAAAAAAAAAATGGATTTTTGTTGCACTGTCTCTAGTTTTCACCTGATCGATGTGGCCCTCCGTGGAAAAAAATTATAAATTTCGCGCTAAAAATATATTTCGTTTACGCTTCGTGGTACCACCGCGCGTGTGTCACCGACAATAGAGAAACTCGTGCGGTACCAACGAAAATCGTCGGGTTCGCTACTGACTGCTTCTTTCTTCGGCAACCTGGACAAGTGGTACCCCCTTCTCATTGTGGTACCCGCAAACGAGCTTCGGCTGCGGTACTGTATTGTACAAAAATGGTCACGTTTTTTTTTTTTTGATCGGTCAATACGCGGGTTTTACAGTTTCGCGTCGTACTAACTGCTTGACAATGTCAGCAGAAATTCTCATTGTTATGGTGCGTTTTTATCTGCTAGTAGGCATTTTTGGGTTAACAAATCCAACATGTGTCCTATTAAATTTTCTAAAAAATAACATATTAAATAAAATTACTCGTCATGATAGACAGTTTTTTTCAAAATTCTATGATAGGTGTGGGATACCAATCCAAATATCTATAGAATGTGAACGTCTCGTATGGAATTTTCGCTAATCGAATTATAGGACTATTTTTCTTTAATTCCAAAGTCAATGAATTAGAATTATTTTAGTTTTATGCGAATGGCCAGTTTGTTTCCGTGACTAGCAAGATCGCCAGACCTTACTGTAGTGCAATTTTATTCTTCATTAAACTTGCCCTACCACCGCTGAAAATACGGTTGATCGTATCGAAAATGCTGTGTGCAACCTGGGAAGAGCTGAAATTAGTACAGCCGTATTAAATACGCGTCGCAGCATAAATTCCTGCATAGAAAATGAACATTAAAAAAAACTATAATTATCTATGATTTTATTTAATTTTTTAGAAAATTATATAATGCGCTAGGTTAGGATAAAGATATTGAGATGCTGTTCTAGTGCCGTAAATAAAATCATATTGTTGCATAATTCATTTTTATAAATGTAAGGTTTCTATTTATTTTTTACAAAATTAATTATTTTACATACAATTACAATATAATTTTTTTTACGTCATTAGGATCGCATCTCAATATCTTTAACCTAACTTAATCCAAAGCTTATAAATTAATTATATTAATTTAAAAAAAAATTATAGAACCTTAACCTTTATAAAAAAAACTATAATTATCTATGATTTTATTTAATTTTATATAAAATTAATTTAATTAATTTATAACTGGTGCTCTAGGTTATATACAGATATTGAGATGCTGTTCAAATAACGTAAAAACATAACATTTATAAAAAAAATCATTGTCGATTCAATAAATTTTGTTGTGTTTTATTTTTATCAATGTTAAGTTTCTATAATTTTGTTTTTCATAAAATTAATACAATTAATTTATAAGCGTTGAGTAAGTTAGGATCATATTGTTGCAGTTATTTTTTGGGTAAATTTTTGTTATAACTGTTAAGTTACTATTTATCTTTTATAAAATTGAGATCGCATCTCAATATCTTTATCCCAACCTAACACAATGCTTATAAATTAATTATATTAATTTTATAAAAAATGAAATTATAGAAACTTAGCATTTATAAAAAAAATTCGTTTTCTTTCAATGAATTTTGTTGTGTTTTATCTTTATCAAAAGTTTCTATAATTTTATTTTTTATAAGATTAATATAATTAATTAATAAGCGTTGCGTTAGGTTAGGATAATGACCTAAACAAAAACCACATTGTTGCATTTATTTTTTTATTCACAAGATTATTTTTCTTGCCAATAAGTAAGAAAACGTCTTCTGGCGGCAGATTATTCAATCACAGTGTGTTTGGTATCCCAGGACAAGCCCTTTTTGATAATTTCAAGTTTATTTAAATCTATTAAGCTTTTTTGAAGTTATAAATATTTATTTCCTGAAAATTTGGACCAGCCCAACCAGTTTCCTTTTAGAGATAGAGTAAAAATCATCTTTTAGTATTATTTAGTTTTCAAGTACTTTAATCCAGAGGGAAAGTTCTTAAAATGCGTTCTTTATGAGCCGGGTAACAATTTAAAATGGCGTACTTTCATAATTTTCTTAGAATATAATAATACCATTATACCATTCATTTTACGTTAAGAAATTTAAAGATAGAACAATTAAATGATGAGAATTAATTTTTATATCAAAAACGAATCCAACTTATCTTTCATATTTTGCAGCCCTATAAGCATTTAATTTAGTCTAGAGCAATTTTTGCAAATACATATAGTGAATATATCTTAGGGATAAAAAAACATAAATTTACTGGCTTATTGAAAGTAAATAACAAAAAGCGTATGTTGTAAAACACTCTGTACAGCAAAATATTACTATGTCTTTATTGCCCTTCATTTCTATCGAAACTAATGTTTGAAATACGAGATTGATTCGTGGTGAATGATTTTTTTTAAATGTTTTAATCCTTATTGACGGAATTAAAAGTCGTATTGGTCGGAAAGAGGAAAAATATATTGGTGATTGTTTAGAATTCGTATTTCAACCTTCTCTAGGTAGCTGCGCCATCTATCCGCTGACTACAGCGAACTCTCGTAACTGCAGGAAGTTTTCAAAACTAACTAACGCTCCCGCTCGCTAGAGGGACACACAAAATGAGAAAGGCTCCTTAAAACTAACTTGCTTTGAACTTGAACTATTCTCAGATATTTTTTGAATAGTTTTATGCACTTTTTATATGATAACCCCAGAAAAGAATTCATAAAAATAGAGCAAGTTCACGAAGAATCACTCTCTACAATCGATAAACTAAAAGCAGTATAACAATTTATTGATGTAATGTGTCACAAATTTTTATTCTAACGAGTTTTAGTCATTACTATTTAAATTAAAACCCCGGATAATATTAATAATATTTATTCAAAACAGAAAAGAACTCCAACTTATTCTCTGTGTTAACAAATAATAATTTAAAAAAAATACACATTCTAAAAACATTTTATAAATATTTAATTATTTATTAACATTTTTAAATATCGTTACATTCTAAACCAATGCGGTAGAAAGAAGAAAATAATACTTTTTATTACTAGCAAATACTACTTGAGATATTTTAATTTTAATGATTTTTGGCACACATTTTCAATGAATCAAGAGGCACCAGTAGCGGGTGTACGGAATTTGACATCGTCTATTATGGCAGATATTAATGGTACGCCACTGATTTCTTTTAAAATATTTTTTTTGCAATCTACAATCATTTCTAAGGGAATTTTATTTCCTCAGTTTTTTCAATCCATTGAACGTTTTTAGTTAAAAAAAAATAAAAACCTCTTCACTGCATGGTCATAACTATATAGTTGATATGACAGCACGCAGAAAAATTTTTGTGAAAAATACAATATCTATCTAAAACAAAATATCTTGTTTTTAGTTACCAACAGAAAAAAAATATTAGAAGACTGTTCCTTTTGCGTTTACAGTTTCAATGAAATAACATAATATGATAATTATATCTATCTATAATCCAGTCCCTTTCTAGCCGTAGGATGTAAGGGTGACATTTCAGCATGCAATTTAGCTATCGATAAAAAGTTTACAATCTTTTCGATTTAGTGCCAAGTTTTTTTGCTTCTACACATGGTCGTCCCCTCTTTTTCAAAATCTTTCCCAATGTACTGTCCCACGTTTCTCTGCCAAACTTAACCGGTACAGTGCTGCCCAATTTCTTTAAATGGCCCCACCAGCCAAGTTGTTTTTTTTCAATGAATTCTTCTATGGATTCCACCTTTCACTCTTCTCTTATAAGTGCATTTCTAGTTTTGTCCCTTCTGGTTATTCCTTTCACTCTCCTCGAGTATTTCATCTCTGCTGCTCCAATTTTGCTCTTGTCCCGATCTGACAATATCCAAGATTCGGAGCCATATGTAAGGATTGGTCTGTAAATTGTTTTGTTAACTTTCATTTTAGTTTCCTTAGAAATTTCCTTTTTATTTATAAGTCCCTTGCGCAATGCATAGTATACCTTGTTTGCCTTTTGTATTCTATTATTTAATTCTGTGTCCTGTCCTGTTTCTTGGAACATAATTCCCAAGTACTGGAAGATACTAACTTGTTCTATTAGTGTCCCACGTATTCTCACCTCTAATTTCTCTTTTTCGTGTGATGCTGCCATAACTTTGGTTTAATTTATGTTCATTTTCATTCCGTTTTTTGTTAGTATCTGATTCCAATTATTTGGATTTTTCTCCTGATCCTTCGAGGTTCCTGCTATCCAACGTAAAGGTTTTTTGATCGCTGTTCTGCCATTCTACTTAGATCGTCCGTATAAGTTACGAATAATAAAGGGCTCAAACTATCCCTATGTCTCACTCCTTGTGTTATAAATGCCTTTGATTTCATGTTCTTATTTACTTCGCAATTTCTTGTTTCGTTGTATAAACATTTGATAACTCTTATTGTTGTTTATTGTCAACGTTTCTGGCTTGTAGGCTTTTCCAGAATTTTATTCGCGGTACTTTATCAAACGCTTTTTCGATATCTAAGAATGCCACGTATACTGCTTTAGATCTTGCCAATTTTCTCGAAATTATTTTTTCTAAAGTGAACACTATGCGTTTCTGTTAGGGTTGGTTCTACTTTTAATCGTAGTCTCTTTTCAACTACTTTTTCGAACAGGTTCAATGGTGTACATAGCAATGATATTCCTCTATATTTGTTGCAGTTCTTGTTATCTCCTTTTTTGTGCAGTGGCAGTATTAAAGCCATTTTCCAAATTTCCGGTATTTTTTCTTCTACCCATACCATATTGAAAATTCTTAACAACAATGTTTTTTACCATCTCAGCTGTAATCTTATCCTCACCTGGTGACTTGCCGTTTTGTAGCTGTTTTATTGCGGTAATTAATTCTTCTCTCATTATAGGTTGTTCATTTGGTTCTGTCTCTTCTTGGTCTACCATTTGTTTACCTTCGTATTCTGTCTTTTTGCCCTTTGTTTTATTTTCGAAATTGAGCAGTTTTGCAAAATATTCTCTCCAGCACTCCATTATATCTGCTTCCGTTGTTAGTTTTTCACCTGCTTCGTTTTTAATTGCTACAGTCTCTATTTTTTTATTGGCTCGAAGACCTTTCAGTACTCTGTAGAAAAGCTATTGATTGGTTTTGCGTTCTGACTCTAATTTATCTCCAAATTCTTTCCATTTTCCTTTTTTAGACTGTATTTACTTTCGTACTTTGTTCTTTGTAAAGTTCATAACTTCGGTGCGTAATTTCCCCTAAATATGCTTTCCATTTCTCCTTCTTTATTTTAACCTGGGTTTTTTATTGCTTCTGTTCACCATACTGTCTGTTTTTTTTTAATATTTTGTTTGTTTATCCCACAAGCGTCTCCGGCTGAATTAAGTATCGTACTTTTGTAAAGTTCCTCCAAGTCCTTATTTACTAGAGTCTCTTTGAGATTTTCTAATTTATCGTTTGTCCTTTCCCTATATTTTTGTGCTATTATTTCGTGCTTCAGTCTGTAAGACTTAATTGAAAAATACACCTTAGAGTACTTCGTATTCGATTTTTTGAAGTGTTTTAATAAAACAGAAAGACAATTACTTAAGTAATAATAGTAATATTAACTATATTGACATGAGCATACAGGGAAGGGGTTTTTACTTCCTTTTGTAGAAATGACGAGATTGTAAGAATAATCTTTATTTTAAGAGAAATTAGCCTGCAAAATAGACATGTACGAGCTGATCTAAATTACGCTGTATATTTTTCACTCTAACATTAGTAAATGAAATCAATGGAAAAATGAGCCCATAATTTTCAATTTTTGTTGTTTTGTTTTGTTGTTGTGCTGTGTTGGTGGTTTACGACCGTTAGAGCAAAAAATATACAGAGCGTTCCGTTTAAAAACAGTGCATTTTCTTTATTTTTCCTAAACCCTAAACTCAATTGTTTTACCGTTTTCGCCATCTACTAATAACAAAGTTACTCATGATGAACACTTAATTTAGATCAGCCGGTATACATACTTACCAAAAACTTTGTTGTTGTGCGCTGTGGGTGAAGCTTGCCAGTTGCTTTGGACCTCGCTTACGATGTTCATCGACGATTTCAATGTTGCAAATGGCGTTTTATTACAGCGCATCCGCCATCGGCTGCTTACCTCTTCCCTAGTGGTCTTTCCCCACCATTCTCGCATTCCTAACCTTTACCTGTTGCTTACGACCGCAGTTACCTGAGACACGTCAAGCGCAAGAATCTCCGCGTCACCTCGTACCGTTAAGCCAAACATTTGGCACATTTTAGGGGTGTTAGACGTGGTATTATCGCACAAGAGTACCGCGAGGGCGCCCGAAGTGATAACCGCGTCATTTTCCGGGCACCCGGAAAGACTTTCACGCGTGTGGAGGTGTAGGAAGATCTCTCGAGAATTTCTAGGTGTGTATCGCGAAGAATTTGGCGTAACTGTGCCCGGACTACCATTTTCCGCGTTTCCAAGGTACGTGTAATAGGCAAAGTATTGCCGTTTGGTTCCCGGAATGGAAACCGCGGCCTGCGGTTTGAATTTCGAAGGTTGTTTTGCACCAGATGTTAGGTTGGATGCTTTTCAGATCACATTAACAAAATAAATCTTTACATTTTCTGGACTTAACTATAACTCACTATCGAGTAGAATACGACGGGGTTTATTGACCCTTATTTACGTAGCAGTACACGGACAGTCGTACAATAAGCTTGAAACGAAAACTTATAGGTACATTGCAAAAAGCAATGTTCAAGTAAAACATTTTCTAAAAATTTTTTAAACAATAATAATATTCTATCCTTTATTTGTCAAAAAAAGTAAACATTCTAATTTAATGAATTGCGCCACGAATCAAATTTTGACAAATAGGAGTCGCTCTCAGAAAAATGTCAGGGAGATATCGCTATTAACCGTAGAAGAAAAGTAAGAGACAAATCTTTAAAAGAAGTAGTATCATGTCTTCGCTATTAAAAAAACACATAATTGACCTAATGTAGGCAGCTTTAAATTCTTCAAGAATTTATACGGATATTATATTAAACCTCGAATACCTCAAATAGTATGTAAAATTTAAATATAAGATAAATTATAAACTTATCTTGCTTATTGACCTAAAATTGATAGCTGAATAAAAATATAGGGTGTTTCATTTGAAAACCTTGAGATGTTGTTAATTGAATTCGCCAAAACCGCACCCCCTATTTGGGACACCCTGTATAAGCTGAGGCGGATCTCTCAAATCGATTGAGTAGTGCATCGTTTCCTTAGTCTGTGCTTAAAATTTTTCTTTGCAATACCTGCATCAGTATCATCACAACACAATTTTATATGGGGCAATCAAAATATGAAAACAAAAAACACATAATTTTGCCTAAACAGGGAACAATTCGATTAGGAATTTCTTAAGAAAGTGACCTTTATTTTAACTAAGGATTCCAAAAATTCCGAAATATACACGGTGTATCATTTAAAATAACCAAACGTCTGAGCAATTTCTGCATATTTCAACCGTAGAAAAATAGTGTCTGTCTCTATTATATGTAAAATTAATACTCTCCATCGCATACTTGCCATAGATCGGATTCCATCGGGTTCCATTCCATGATGGATTTGATGATGCTATTATAAATTAGAATAACTGATTTGTGGTTGCGAAAGCATTTGGTGTTAGGCAATAGAAAACCAAGCCCTTCTTTACAATATTTTTTACAAATGTCTCTTTAACTTGAGCAACTCCTTTACTTAATTAATTAATAGGTTCTCTGTAGGTAATTTCTTGTTCTTTGGGAATACGGAAGAAGTTAGAACATCTCATTAAGATAAGTCAGTTTACCTGATTTCGTAATTTTACAAACAAATATATCCAGTTTAATTAAATTATTCAAAAAAGATATGGTAACGGTAAAGTATGTTATAGGCAAAACGGAAGCAAGAGTTTTTCAATTTTTGAATTGACCTTTTAATTTGCCAATACAGACGTTCTCCGTGTGACGCATCTGTGTATTCAAGCAGAGAAAATATTTCTGTTTTGGATTTAAAAATCGCTTGAATCTGCAAATGTTCTTAAATGATGTGTTCCAAAGCTCCTTCCTTTTATGGGTTTCTTGAGTTTTGGGAACAGAAAAAAGTCACAGGGGGCCATATCCGGTAAATCTGACGGCCTAGGCATGGTTTTGGGTTTGTTTTTGGCCAAAAAGTTAAACGCAAGCAACAAGCTTTAAGTTTTTTCTTAATGTGAAAATCAAATGTTTTTACTTTTACTTAAGCCTTTATATGTTATAATATTAATGAAAGAGTCTTATCGCATATCATGTTTTTTGGTTTATGGAATTTTCGTTGAAAGTACTGATAAAAAGCAATTTCAAAAAATGTCGCAGAAATTATTATTCCCTTCTAGTTTTTATTTAGGGTTGTATTTGAACTTGAACTTTGAATAGGATCGTGCGAGACAGAAAAAGGAATTTACAGCGCTTATAAAATATAAAATCAATAAAATAACTGCGCAGAAATACGCCCAGGAAAATTAGCGATGACCACTTGTGGAGTCCTGTTTGTTAAAAAGGTGATGCATCATCGGAAACATATCTATAAATAACCACAAGTTTCAAAATATTTTGTTGTTTTCAACCGAACCCAGAGGCGGACGTTTCAATTATACATACAGTGAGCGGCATAATATTAACGCCTTTATTTAAAATTTAAGAATATACAAAGTGGCCCGTAAAACGATTTTTCTAACGAAAACTATTATGCTATTGCTTTAAGAAATCCGAAGCTGTTATACAGTACACTTCTATGTACCGGATGATCATTTATTGCTCTAACCTTTTTATTCAACAACAAATGCAAAAGTTTTTCGAAAAATGGTAAGCCACCACAAATAAAAGTCATATATATTTTAACGGGGCTAGAATGTATGCACATTTCTTGTATAATATGTACTTTACCTAAATTCAGTCAACCAACAGAAAGTTGTGAATATGATAGTAAAAAGTTGTAGGAGTTTTTGCATAACTTCTCGTTGATTTCAGTATCGCTATTTGAGTTTCGATTTTTTTTTCATTTATTTTTTTTTTAAATTAATTGTATCGTAATAGCAATGGCGTATTATTTCATGTCGGATATCTATCGTTAAATATTGTGGATACTTCACAATATTTTACAAAACAATAAATCCTTTGGTGGTGGTTTAGAAATCGAAATGGATGCTGAGTTTCAGTCGCGGAAGCTGCAGAATTACCGACAAGGTTCGACCGTCTGACGTAAAGGCCAACTAGCGCGTTATTCTGGCCAGATTTATAGGCAAGTCAACCAAACAGCGCCGTTTATTAAATTTACTAAGCAACGTTGACAATTATTCAAATTTGTCCACGCAAATGAACCCGACAAATTCAACAAAGTCGAAGAGGTGGCTTACAGTGTTTACGTAAAGCTTATGTAAATAAATAGTGCCGCAAGTTGCTGAGGCGTATCGGAGGTTGGATGATTTTAAATTTTTGCATTTTAAGTCGAATTAGAACAAACCATTGATCTTGAGAGGATGAGATGTATCCAACTGTTTCAGTAGCTTATGGAAGTTGCTTCGAAAACAAAAAGTTCAGAGAATAATTATAACAATAAATTTCATAGTACGAAACCAATTAATCATATTTTTCAAAAAACTTATTAATTTATCATAATAATAATATAACCTTTTTTTAGCATTATGCAACATAAAAAATACAAAATATAAATTCTAAATATAAAATATAAAATTCCAGATAAACGGAATTCAACAGCTGAGCACACAAAAATCAGAATTTGGACAATACATGGGGTCCTAAAAGTCTTATAAATTTATTAAGAGTATCAAAGTTTTTAATATCATGCGGCAAATTGTCTTGCCTTTATGTAATATAGAGTTTTGTATATGACTAGAATAACATTCTCCCAACATAAAATTACCACAATTTCTTGTATCATAAGAATGAATATCTCTGAAATGAACACACTGCTGTTTAATTTTAAAAATAAATACATAGACATTAAACATTACTTTTTGTTTTACAGACAAGAAATTAGGAACACTCAACATGCTTTGAGTTGGCGTTACACTTAAGTATTTTTCTCATGGCACCATTTTGAACAATCTGCAATTGATCTAATTTATAATTAAGTAAATTGAACAAAAGTGTGAACAAAATTCTAAATGGGGAGCAGCTAATCTGTTATACAATAAGATTTTGGTGTCAATTGAAAATTTTTTCCCTATTCTAGATATAAAATTAATATTTTTAGAAAATTTATTCATTATGTAATCGGCATGTGTGTGAAACGTCAAATTTTAGTCAAATATAACACCCAGATATTTAATTTCGTTTTCCTGAATTACTTTTTTGTTGTTAATATAAATGTTTACATCGAAATTTAATTTACTCAATTTATGTAGTTTACGAAAAATACAAAATTTTGACTTGTCCGTGTTTATACAAAGGTTATTAGTGCGCAGCCATTCAAAAGCATTCTTCAGATCAGCATTCATTTTTCTTTGCATTTCATCCGCATTTTCACCCACAATAAAAATCATGGTGTCATCCGCAAGTAATGCCGCTTTAGTATCATCTAAAACATTTACAATATCGTTTATACACATAAAAAACAACAATGGTGCCAAAACTGTCTCTTTAATTTTTTGTACCCTATCTGTTAACAATTTGTACAATTTTCTTAGCAGTCTAGTTCTACTTATTATTTCGAAAGTACGCTTAAAATCCAAAAATACAGCCAACACAAATTTACCATCCTCCTAGGCCTCCAAGAAATCATCACAGACAGTAACAACGACAGACTCACACGATTGTTTGGAGCGAAAGCCCGACTGGGTAGGCACTAAAATGTTGTTTACGTCACAATAACTTGGCAGCTGCTGTTTCACCACAGCCTCAAGAACCTTCTCATAAACTGGAACGGTATTAATTGACCTAAATTCTTGACATAAATTGGTGTTGGGAACCTTCTGTACAGGGATCACCCTGATTATGAGCTGTTCACAACAACTGCACAGGCATCGATCAATACACTCTTTGAAATACCACACTTATCACCAATCTCTTATTATTTTTTTTAGGTCCTGCATAGTTATGGTATTAAACTGATCTATTTCTCCATGGTGTATTATCAGTGATATCGTTCATAGCCTGGGATGGCGGAATGCCACTTAAATTATTTTTAACACCGTCTATAAAATACTTATTAAATTCATTAGCTATGACTTGCTTAAATGAAACAGTTCGCTGGCCAAACTGCAATTCATCGGGAAGAATACCTTTTTTATTTGCAAGTAGCGTTTTTAAATGTTTCCACATTTCTTTAAAGTTTGTTTTATTTCTATCAATAATATCTTTAAAACATCTGTCTCTTTCTAATTTAATGCAGCTTACAATGCGATTTCTTTTTTGTAGGAACGCAATGTATCATCATTTTGTTCAAGTACC